CTATTTTATGACTCCGTCCAAAGCGGGCTGGGTAGCTAACTACATCAACTAACTAGTTAACTAACTCGCACCCAAAAGTAAGTGGCTCGGCCAAGCAGCTGCGGACTTCAATCAAGCAATTTAAATACTTCCAACACCGGCACCTCGTCTACCTAAAAGCATATCCCAAATCATAGCATTCCAGGAGTTTCCTCTGATATATTCATTGCCACTATTTTACATACCAAGCAATGATACTTCGAATACATCTTTGAGTTCATACTTAACCTGCATCTCCACTGGATGCACGTAGTTACCCGCCACGGAACCAATCAATATAATTATCATGACGCACGGAGCCCATAGGCAAACAGTGGAGGAGAGACGGAAGGGGGAACTGGTACACCATGACTCCGCGCTCTTCTCCATTCGTTACGCTTCTGAGGTGCGAACAAAATGGCCTCGTACTAATAATCTTCTCATTAAAAGGCTCTCGGTGACTTCGCTGAATATGTCGAGAAGCAGCAAGCGCATCGCTCTGCGCTGCAACGTGAAGCTCGGGGGAACTCTGTGGCACCCAGTGACAGTGGCTATTCCACTGTGAGCCATGCGACGGTGACAGAAGATCATGCCGAACTCGATATTATCGACCAACTAGGCTTGTCGGACGATACCAGCCATGTTAAGCTAAAACATCTTCTCCTGGACAACTCCACCACTGCGGGTGATACATTACAGCAACTTGCTGGTGTGGTACAGACTCGTATTGATGAAGGACATGGCGAAACGGTTTTTGATCTTGGCCAAGAAGACAACGGGGAATGGATGGGCTTTGACAAAGGGCAATGGGATGCCGCTCTAGAGAGACTCCGAAAGGCCGCTCAAACACTTCGAGCCGACTGTAGCGTACTTCTTACCCACAATGTGGGTGGCACCCAGGAGGCGGAATCCAAAAACGAAAGGATCAAGCATGCTTACGGCAAAATCCTCATACGCCAGGCTGCAGCGTCGGCTGAGGATGTGATTGAGACCAGAATCGCAGTTGTTGGAAACGTTGATGCTGGGAAAAGCACTCTACTTGGTGTGCTTGTCAAGGGCAAACTCGACGATGGCCGTGGGAGGGCACGAGTCAGCCTTTTCCGCCACAAACATGAAATCGAGAGCGGTCGAACTAGCTCTGTCGGTATGGAAATAATGGGGTTTGACACCCATGGCGAAATAGTTGGGCGTGGACACGGGCGCAAACAATCCTGGGAGGAAATTGGCAAGCAGTCTGCCAAAGTAATTTCTTTTACAGACTTAGCCGGCCATGAGAGATATTTACGAACCACTGTTTTCGGGATGTTGAGTAGCAGTCCAAATTACTGTCTGCTTATGGTGGCCGCAAATAACGGGATAATCGGGATGAGCAAAGAGCATCTCGGTATAGCGCTGTCTCTGAATATTCCTGTCATGGTTATCATCACCAAAATCGATATTTGCCCTCCCCATATCCTACAGCAAACTATTACCCAGCTGACACGCATCCTGAAATCCCCAGGCGCCCGGAAAATCCCTGTATTCATCAAGACCCTCGAGGAAACCGTCAATACAGCAACTCAGTTCGTTAATCAACGGATCTGTCCTATCTTCCAGGTGTCCAATGTGACTGGAGAGTGCCTTGATCTCGTGCGAATCTTCTTGAACATCCTACCACATCACGGGCATTACGACGCTGATGCGCCTTTCGAGTTCCTTGTGAATGATACTTTTTCTGTTCCATTCGTTGGTACCGTTGTTTCAGGGGTCGTTAAATCAGGGGTTATACACGTCGGTGACCCCATAATGATTGGGCCCGATTCGCTTGGCCAATTCAGGACGACTGCAATCAAGTCCATCGAACGGAAACGTATAGCTGTGCATGCTTGCTCTGCCGGACAGTCTGCTTCTTTCGCTCTCAAGGGGGTTCGCAGAAAGGAAGTGCGCAAGGGAATGGTAGTCCTGCCAAAGCTCGACCAGCCCCCAAAGGTCTATCGTGAATTTGTCGCTGAAGGTAAGCTAGAATACTATCACACGTTGTTTTATAACTCTATATAATGCAGCCATTCGACTAAAGATGGACGATACAGTCTTGATTCTTTCTCATGCTACAACGATAAAAACGAAATACCAAGCTATGCTCCACGTTGGCGCTGTGAGCCAGACATGTGCCATTATCGACATAGATCGTGACTACATCCGAACGGGGGATCGCGCACTAGTTGCATTCCGTTTCATCCAACGCCCGGAGTTTGTATCTGTGGGCGATCGAATCCTGTTCCGTGAGGGGAGGACCAAAGGATTGGGCATCGTGAAAGCCGTTCGCTACGACCCCAGCAATCCATTGAACCCAAGAAATAAAGATACCAACGAATGTAAATTCCCAGACCAAGCACCGTAGTAACGACGGACAAACGATTCCACATTATATTTCGACAATACATACTGTGGTCCGACTCTAGTCATGATTATGATCGTATGGAACTGTGCTGTTTGTCCTTCATGCGATTGGTGTTCAAAGGTGCCTATTTGCAACTGCTCGGGATGCATTTACTCTTTCAACTTTACTATTTTCACCTACCTACGATTTATTGTCTCTCTAGTTTTCCATTTGATGATGGACTTTTCTTCCTCCATTGTTTTAAAGCGTTTTGTGTCTTGCGTTTGTGCCGAATTTCGCATGTTTTTCAACCTGTGCATATCAGGAGGACTTGAAAACGTGTATTTCATTTCCATAGATTACTCTTCATATATCTATACCCTGCTCCACTTTCAGATGTCTTTATCATGGTTCCAAGGCTATAATTGCCGCCCCCCGCCCCCCAAATTTATCTTCACTTCACTTCCCACAGCCGTTCCTCACTAATCACGTGATATCCTTTAATGACCCTTTAATGACCTCATCACTGGATGATCCGTTGAAGGACGATTAGAAAAGGTTTTATTTTTTATTTTTATTTTTATTTTTATTTTTTTTGTTCGATAAGACACCCCCCATTGACGTCACAGCTATCTATGAGCCCTCTCTCGCCACGACAAGCAACGAAGCAACGAAGAGGCCCTCAGAAAAGCGTTTTTATGGGAATCTTTACTTGTAAATTTCACTACTAACTACTTATTTTGTCGATTACCCAATCCACCGATACCGCCAACATTGTCTCTTTTGTATAGCCAATACTCGGGATCATTTCACCACACCAATCATGGAAGTTTTCAGGGAGGTGGTCCATGCTGCCGAAAACTTACTGTGGGGCAGCGGAGAAACCAGTATGGAGAATGGAGAAGAGCCTGTGTCTGGTGTTCAGGGGAAAGGCACACCCGCAGATCCATATGACGCTGGTAATGCACCAAGTATGCGGAGACACCACTTTCTTTCGCTCTCTTTTCCCAGTTCAAGTGCTTTTAGAGCTTCGACGAGGATCGAGTTTAGGGCATGTCTAGAGCAAACACTGTAAATTTGAGCATAGAATCACGGCTGCTTCATTGAAACTCAACATCACTGAGCTTTTCTTCTGGGATTTGGCGACAAGCAATGCCAGTGCCTGTGCTCTGCAAACCCAAAAATTAGCATCTTGCGTTAAAGTGCTGCTAACACCTTTATCATAGAAGGTGTCGCCGTCGAACATGCGATAGATGACCCTGTGCGGGATGGAAAAGCACAGCAAGAAGAAAACAAGGGACGTATCTCAGGTGGCCTAGTCCCTGGCAGTGGCAGCAGTACAGCTCCCGCTGGCGGACAGGTCCAGGCAGCGGGTTTACAAAAACCGAAAACAATTGTCCCAAAAAGAGAATCCACTCTACAAGCAACTGTATCTGAGACGAGAGCGCAATCCACCAGCTCTCAACCCCGTGCCTCGTCTGGAAGTTCAAGCACTCCCGCTGGTTCCCTTGGAACTCCAGTGTCGCAAATTGGCACCACTTCACCACCCCTACCACCCTCCGGTGGCAATGGGAGCGAAACAACATCAATGGGAGCAGCCTCATTACCACAAGGGCCCCCAGCGCCGGGGGATGTTAGCCGTGTATGTACCTCGCCTTTATATCAGTTTATCCTTTTTTTTTTTTTTTGGAACCCCATACTAAGGTTCTGTATCAGGAATCCAAAAATGGAACGCACCACCACATGCACAGCACGGGGTATGCAGCTGAGGGGGGTGATTTTGATGCGAAGGAACCGGGGGCAGGGAGGGAGGCTGACAGTATGTAATTTTTATTTTATCCCCCTTCCTATCAAATTAAGAGGCGAGCAATGCATAACATATGTTCCATTTTGATATTCGATTCTTGCAGGACTGATGGCAGAACACAACCAACAAGATACTCGTCGCAAGGGGCATGCGGCTGTGGAAGGATCTCCTGGAAATGATGAGATTTCCAGTAAGAAAAATACATCGCACCATTTTCCACTGTCGAAAGGGAAAAATAAAATGCATATTTGGAAACACCGTTCGTAGGAACACCAGATCTCCCGCATTCTTGTTCGGACGGAGGTTTATGCATGTCCCGTTATGTTATCTGTTCTAGGACTTGCTCTAAATTGTGGGGGAAAGATGGACATTACTTATTTAAATTGCTCCCTGGTTGTTTGGATTCTTTAGCTATATCTGGTTCCTTTCGCCTTTACCTATAGGCTAATCTATGGCATGAGTTTGTGATTATTGATAATTCTGCCATGTGCGTAGGTAATGTACGTCCACGTTATATGAGATAAAAGGCTGACGCACAGTGACTTGTGTTGTTAAACATTTAAGCAGAAAATGGAAGTCTTCCGGACGACTTACTATGGAATATTTCATGAATCAGATACTATTTGTATATATGCAGTGTAGTAATAATATGAACAACAGAAAAGGCTTTCCAACGCCAATGGATGCAAAACAAACACGGATATATATATATATATCTATATATAGCCACATATTTATATGCTCTTTGACAAAAAATGAATAAATAATAAGCAAATTATAAACAGAGAAAGTCAGAAAATGTAAAAGATCCCCCACCTATTCAAACAACAACCTCAACTCCTCAATCCTTTCCTTCTTTCGTTCTTCCTCACCCCCATTCCCCCCAACCCGCAATCCCAACGATCCGGCGATCATCATCTTTCGTTCCTGGATCTTCAAAATTCGGCCCTCGATACTATCCTTCACGATGAATCTCGTTACTGTTACATCTCGCAGCTGACCCATACGATGAACCCGATCGATCGCCTGTGCTTCAGTTGCGAAGCTCCACCATGGATCCATCATAAAAACATGGTTGGCAGTAGTAAGATTCAACCCGACGCCTCCAGCCCGCAGACTGATCAGCAAGACGTTTGGTGGCGATTCTTTGGCATGATTGTTGGATGACGGGAGCTTGGATTGGCGCTTGTCTTCATCATCGTCGTCCTTGTCGTCAGCTACAGCAACAGAGCAGAATTTGGCAAGAACTGCTGCACGGGACGTCTGGGATATGGAGCCGTCGAAACGGAGGTGTGAGATGCCCGCGCATGTTAATTGATGCCCAATGAGATCGAGGAAAGAGGTGAATTGAGAGAAGACCACGACCTTGTCGTTTGATGGAAGTTTAGTCAGGTGGGAGATTAGGGCCTGGATTTTTGCTGAAGTTTGAGCTGTGGGCGACAGGGGGTTTATGCGGCGCAGCGAAATGCGGGGTGCAGGCGAGGACGAAGTTGGCGAAGTACCGTTGTGCAAATCACCTTCACCGGGGCTTTGTATTGGAGATTTATGACGGAATACTTCATAGATATCTCGAATGGTTATAGTCTCACGGCATGAGAAGCAACGAGGAATTTTTCCTCTATCCCTCTGGTGTTGCACGTATTCTACCAAACATTTCTTGCAAGCACTATGCCAACAGGACGTGACAGCGGGATCTACCATAGGCTCATCTGTACAAATAGGACATTCCCCACTTGACTCTGTCTGTATCTGTTGAAGTGCGTGGGTGGTAAATTTGTGGGTTGGATCTTGTTGGCCATCTGGATCAGCGTTAGAGGTAGATATTGTAAAACGGTCTATGAGCTCCTGGAGGTCCATATCATCCTTGAAAACGTTGATATCATCAGAAGCAATAGCTGCATCCTCTTCTTCTGCAACAATGGCTTGATTTCGAGTAAGCACAGGATGACAACATGTCTGTCGGAGGCGAAGAATCTGCGCAAATATAGTTGTGTACGACTTCAAAAGAGTGCCGGCAGCTACATTATCATTAAATGTTCGTTTCGCTCGACTAAATATTAGGTCATATATTTCCCGTTCTTGGGTAGAAAGTTCGACTTCGGAAATTGTAATGGTTCGAGGTGGTAGTGGAACCAGAGCTTCACCCTCAGGTGTTTTCATAGTTTTGGTTCGACGTAGGACAAGTGGTTCAAGAACAGTTTGCACAACATTTAGTGCACACACACAATCCTTGGACTCAAAGGGGACGGTGATGAAAGTTTTCCAAAAAGAGAAATTGCTCCACGGCTCAACCTTGAGAAACCGCACAAGGCTGAAAAGATCTTCAAGTCGATTGACAATAGGAGTACCCGTAAGGGCCCATCTATGGGTGCCCTTGATATCATAACATGCTCGAGCAGTTTTAGATGCCCGGTTTTTAATATAATGAGCTTCGTCGAGAATAACACGGAAAAAGTCCACGGAAAAAAGGCCCCCATAAGACCCAACAGGAGAACGACTGGAGAACTGGCTATGTTCTGAACGAACAACACCGTAGCTCGTAATTACCAAATTTGGAGCAGAATTGGGATTAGAAATTGAACAGAGTTTTCTCAAATCAGCCGTTTTATCACTTCCGTAGTAAACAAGAACCCTCATTGATCCTGGCTTTGAAGCCTTCATAGCCTCGCTTTCCCATTGCGCGAGAAGAGAAGTTGGAGCAACGACCAATGTAGTATACGGAGCTGGTACAGGCTTGGAAGAAGAAATGAGTGACATTGCCGATAAGCTCTCAAATCCAGCAATCTGAGGTTTGACTACCTCAGACCTGTGGGAGTGCACCAAGCTTAGCATTTCAATAGTTTTCCCAAGACCCATTTCATCTGCTAAAATGCCACCCAGGCAATTCTGTTCTTGGACAGGAAATTCCAAGCTAAGCTCGCCAGAATATGGATTGACGTAAAATTTATCGTGGTTACGTACACGGAGAAGCGGCTGATCATCCATATCCTTCGTAGGCCAAGAATATTCTTCCCACAATGGATGCATTGACTGTTTCTCCCTCCGTTGGACATGTTTTTCTTTCCCAAGCAACCAATGCAGAGCTTGCTTCTGATATTTTCGAAGACTTAAAATAAAATCTGATCCTGGTTCCATTTCAGGGGTGCTGAAGTCAAAAGACTGCGCTTTCTGGTACAGCGCATCAAGTTGATCTTCATCTAGCTTCTCGCCATCTTCATCGTCTGACGATTCGTTCCCGCTGTTTTGCTGCGAGGTGGAGGTTGGTGAATATTTGGACTTCTCGCTCATCTCCGCCGCCTGAAGCAAGCCTTCCTTCTTGTGGCGTGCCGTTATTTCATTAATTGAAGTTGGTTCAAGGTTTATCTCGCCAAAAAGCTTGACTAATGCCACTTGCCGCAGACGAAGGGCCTTCTCCTCTGATGTTTCCTGCTCCTCGAATAGCCTCGGGGGGCCATTCTCATCTCCGAGGGCAGTAAAAGATTTCTGCTGAAAAGCCCCCCTCAAAAGAAAGCATCTCAACTGAAGGTATATGGTATCATTGACACGGATCCGATCCGGCGCAAAAACACAGACTCCCTCAAAGCGACATATCTTTTGATCTATCAATGTGGAAACCCACTCAGCCGTTTCTCGGGGAAGTCTACCAATTTCTTCACCATTTTTATTAGTGAACCGCGTTATCACATCCCCTTTTTGGTTCGACGTCCGCGGAACAGGTTTCCCTCCCCTCCCATACTTCATAGACGGTTGTAATTTGGTCCGTTCAATATAGACTGACTCTCCATGCTTCACCAAATTCGTACCACTCCTCGTCGTCCATGCACCAACACCAAATGCGCCTATATACCGGAATTCAGGGTTAGCAGTAGTAATGTTAGGGTCATCTTCAACATCGTCCTCTGCAGTATCCACAACCATAAGATCTGGAGCCTCGGTATCTGATTCTTCCGTTGGCTCGATAACAGTTGTGTTTGGTGTGGAAGATAACGTTGAAGATGGTCTGATTACATTCTCCTCTTCCCAAGAGCCGTCGAGATAAAGGTTAATCGCAGTTTGCATATCATCCTTCGCTGCCAGCCGAATCTTTTGTATTGTACTCAAATCAACTGGTTGCCCTACAATGCTGGCAAATAGATCAATGTCAAATCCACTTTCATCAACAACAGCGGGTTCCGTGGTATCACAAGGTCCGGAAGAAGAGGCTTCAGGGTTCAAAAAGCCCACCGCTGAACTGTTGCGTGAGGGAGCCGTCCCTGACGACGCATCGATGCCATGTACAGGCTCGTTTTGGGTAACATCATCCTCATCTTCGACGAAAAACCGACGTCTTTTTGCTGGCTTCCCGCGTAAATATGAGGATGCTATGTTGTGAGTGGCCATACCAACCCAGAACAAGAAGCAAAAGGAGGTTGTTAATAGTGGAATGTTGCAGATGTTGGAGATTTGAAGAAGTAGGGAAGACGCGAAGCCATAAGTAGAAAAATCACGGGAACACGCTAAAACCGCGACCAAGCAATTTAACTACCGACGTCATAGCTAACAAAAAAAAAATTGCACTCGTCAATGGACAGTGCTGCGATACAGGTCATTTTTTGATATTGATGGAAGAAAAATCAATTAACTAATTCTTACATAGTAAGCTGAGTGCAAGAGCTATGCAGTATCAATAGCATGGCTAATTTGAATTGGTAATTACAATTCCTAACGTGGAGATGGAATTGTGTCTGTAACTAACGCCCTGAGCCAGATATAACCTCCACCAGTTGATATTTCCCAGTGGTGTAAAATGTCCTCAAAACCACATATGGTATGCCTGCAGTGTGTTTCTCGACAGCTTAGGTTTCAACCAAAACATAGATTTCCCGGAAATCCAATCCAGCTGAGCCGTCACTTTTCAAAAGCTGCCCCTCTTTCATCCGATCCAGGAGAACGAGCCAAAGCGGAATACGAATCAGCACATACATACTGTCTTGATCTTCTCCGGCAAGTAATAAACATAGATACATATATCTCGTATAGCTATCAACCAAGAGTACAATCTAACCGAAACTAGAAAATATGACCGCCCTTCCTACACCCTCAGCACATTCATTCCCAGTCAAACTGTCAACTTCTACCTCGCCCTCCGGGCCTTTAATATCTCCTTATCTATGATACCCGATACAATTTCAACCCCGACAGTAGGCCTGATGCGCCTGCAATTTTGGCGGGATACCATCACACGCACACTTGCGGGGAGTCCACCAAGGGAACCCATCGCCATCCTCCTCGCATCTGCGCTCTCTGACCTTGACACGCGCACACAGGCCAACGGTGGTGCGCGGATAAGCAAAAGCTGGTTCCTACGCATGATAAATTCGCGCGAACAATATCTAACAAACACTCCCTACACAACCCTATCCACGCTGGAATCCTACGCCGAAAATACGTACTCAACTCTCCTATATCTAACCCTCAGCGCCCTTCCCCTAACCTCCCTGACGGCAGACCACCTAGCATCACACATAGGAAAGGCAGCAGGAATCTCCGCCGTCCTACGAGGGATACCGCTGATCGCCTTCCCGCCGCCGCCAATCCACCACTTTAAGCAAGCGGGTGGGCTGGGTGGTTTAGGGGGTAGTGGTACTGGTGCTCCTACTAGATTAGGGGCCATTAACCTTCCACTCGACGTCATGGCTGAGACAGGTCTGAAGGAAGAAGATGTCTTTCGACATGGTGCTGAAGCATCGGGGCTTCGTGATGCGGTGTTTACCGTCGCGACACGCGCCAATGACCATCTCATCACTGCACGGCAGATGTTGACAAACCTGCGGGGGGGGAAGGATGTGGGGCATGGTTTTGAGCATGAAGGGGAGGAAGGACATGAATATGCTAATACTAATGGTAATGCCAAGGGTAATGGCGGTACGTCGAATCTTGACGTGCAGCTGGAAGAGGTGGAGAGGGCGTTTGGTGTGCTGATGCCGGCTGTCTCTACGTCTCTCTGGCTTGACCGATTGCAAGCGGTGGATTTTGATATTTTCAAGCCTGAGCTTCGCACGTTTGATTGGAAATTGCCTTGGAAGGCGTATTGGGCTCATCGGCGTAGGACTTTCTAAGCGACTGTATATACAGAGACATCGACGAAAATATTTAAGTTATATGGGTTACGTAAATCAGCTATTTATCTTGCCTGGAAACTTCTATAGAATATGGGGATCAAATACATCCACACAATGGTAATTTTCTATGCTTTAGTGTTAATAGTATACATATATGTTATATTCATGCGCCAAATAGTATTTATGCAGATAATCCAGCGCCTTAATGAAAGATGTAAAACTGTGCACCAACGCCTAGAAGGCTGTGAGGGTGAATCATCGGAAACAGGAATAAGGTAACCAGTACTAACATATTCCGTACTCCTATAGACCCATAATCCTATAATTAGAATCTAGAATATATATGGCTACTCAGAGCGAGGCTTTTGTCGTCGCTTCCGTGAGATGTTGATAAGGCGTTGTTGTGCACGTCTCATGAGGTATCGTTGAATCATGTCACGCCTGTTTCAAACATTACCAAATTTTCTCTTTCAAATACGATCGGAGATGGGTGATCTGAAAGGGAATGACGCGGATGATTATCACTCACATTAATATTGCAGTCGTGACGATAACAAATGGGATGGCAATTGGCCAGAAGAAGCTACATTTACAAGGATGGAGTTAGCAGCAGAAAAGATTGATAGAGATATGTTACCTCGATAAAATATGGTATAAAAATGAGGGCAATGTTGTAAATTGTATAGCTCAGCAGAAAAGGGTTTACAATGGCATAGTGAAAACTTACGCATCGCTATGGTTTTGCACACCATTAAACCGGGCAAAGTTCATTCCAAAGTATCCCTAATAGATGAAAAGTTAGTGCATCCAAGCCCAAAACAACAATCAACAAGGTTAAGGAATTGGACACGAACCGTAAGAAATGTCAGCGGCAGGAACATACACGTCACAATAGTGAGCTGTTTCATGCTTTCGTTTTGGTAGGCTCCTGTACGAAACAGAAACAGTTGGCGATCATCCGCTTATGAGAACTGTAGCAAGCCAAAAGGAAGCCAATAATCGATACAACTCACCAATAGTGTTAAAGGTAAGGTCAATCATATTATCCGCTGATCGTCTCATTTGGTCATATTCTTCCGTAATAGTGATACAGTGGTCCAAAACGTCACCCAAATAAGTATAACACATGGGGCTAATTCGGACTACAGTGGGCATTTTAATCCCTTCCGGATCGGGGGTGCTTGATTTGCTGGGCGTTGGGTCCACAGACAGCAGAGGTATCGAATTTGTAAAAATGGTTTTAAATGTCGGTCCTTTACGAGACGCTGGCTCAGATTTGTGGTCCCGAAGAGCATTCACAACACCAGTTAAGGGTTGCATGGCGTTGCGCAAAACCGCAATTTCGGAGGTTAGTATATAGAGGTTCGTAGATTGGTTGATATCCGGGTCAGTGAGGACATTCAGTTCCAAATCTCCAATTGCGTCTTGATATGCCACCGTGACGGGAATGGCTAAATCAACGATAGCGTCGAGTATAGCCTGGACGACCATACTTGCATCGCAGGACTGTCTCAAGATCGTTTCGGGGGATGTCAGTCGTTGGACTATTGGCATCTCAATATCCTCGGCACTAGCTTCGAAGAAGGAGGTCACGGTATTGTCCGCATGAAGGAAATATAGAAACTTGCTCGATGGCAACACCCAAATTTTTGGACGCAAGAACGGCGTGACGTTCCATAAAATCAATACGGTCCTCATTTGGGCCTCCTCTGTACCGCTGCAGAGTTCGTAACTTTCTCAGGCGTGACTCGTCCATTGTCAAGGGCTTATCTTCAGCAAATAAAGTTTCAATTGGAATGTCTCCCTTGGATGCTCCTGGTTTTCTCTTCTCACGAGAAGGTGATAGGAGGTCTGCAATAGCAGACATAATTACCCCTCGTTTCCTTGCGGGTTGCTGCTTTCTCTTTAACTTGTATCCTGGCTTCTCAAATGTCTGGTCGTGTCCGTTATCAGTGTCGCTTTCTCCGTCAAAATCAGCAAAATGACCATTTGACTGAAGTTTAACCAGCTTTTGCATCGCAAGGACTATAAAGGTGTTGTCTGAGAACCAGTCTACTTTCGTACGATTCACAGAGTGCAATAAATCCTCAATGGCCAATCTATGCAGGCCCTTATGGCTGGCCAGCAAGCTAACAACGTCCCAACTTAACCCGTTGACATTAATCCAACGGCAGAGCACCCACGGGTCCCTTTCCTTCTTCAGAAACGGCCGTAATGTTTCATTATTCAGATGATACATTCGCATGTCATCCTGAGAGAAATCCACAACAGTAATATCACATCGTATATGTCTCTCTTGAAGTAACGTTTCTCCTCCAGTACGATATGGGGGAAGAGGTTCACCTGGATCAAGTCCGGGTTCGTCCCCTGGGTGCCAATTATTATTGCTTGCCGAGACACTTCCCCCACGATGATATGAACGGGCGGTATTTGATCGTTTGGCACGGCGCCTAATGAAGTCTTGAGACTCAGTTCGATGAAGGCCCGTCACATCGGGCGGGGAACTTGGCGCGGTGGATTTGCGTTCGAGAGTGGGAAAGGCTGACAGAGCCTCAATATCGGAGGGAGAACTGGTGACAGCTTCTGGCTGCGCATAATCGCGCACTTCAACACTCATTGTAATGGAGGTTGATGAAACCACAGACGATCTGTAAAACAAGGTGTTTCAAGGAATATTAGGAAGCTTGGATCTGCGGGCCAGGGTTGTTTTCGCCGGGACAGCCTACAGCTCACCAGTCGCAGGGGAGCTGCTCGTTTCCAAAACCTCCAATCATCCCGTAAATCCAAGAGATCTTGGGAAGTTAAATTTGGGAGAACGCGCTCACTTGAGCCTCGCATTAGATAACAATAACTCGTAGCTATTAGAGTGCGAATAGCGCGCAATTGTAACAACAAATTAATCTGTTTAAAACTCGCGTCCCCTTAGGAGAAGAGCTTGATGACGGCGGGGGTAGTTGGAAATGGCGGAGGGCATAGCTTGGTCGCGGGAATGGCAATTAACCATAGAACAGAAATTCGATCAAGGATCACTTAAATCAAGCTACGCGCCAGGTAAATCAAGGGTTGTAAATAAGTGGTAACATTCCTATTCGAAAATAAGGGGAAGATGTGAAAGTTGGATTAAGATTGGTGTCGTCAAAACCTATAAAAACCCTCCAATTCTTGGCGGATCACTAACATCGAACGCCAACAACCCTGGAACTCATTGACGAAGTTCAGAATGGATAACCATAACTTGCTTCTCAACAGATAGATATACATTTATTATGGCTTAAATGGCCAGGAGGTATTTGCCATATATGATACACTTTTTGTTCGACTTCTCATTACTCCTTAAATAATCTCCTTAATCATCCAGCACCATTTGAAACAGACAGGCTGTCGCCCAAACCACCCTCCTCAAAAGAGAGACGAATACGCCGTTCTCTCCAAGTAACCGATAATATTCTCACATCCAAAAGGAGCATAGCCGTGACAAGATGGAAACTGTCATACTGAAATATATGACAGAAAGTCGAAGGGGAATAAAAAAAATATACATGTATAAAAAAACAATATTGACAGAGAATGAGAGCCACAGACAAAGAAACATCTTTCGCCATGCCTAGGTAACCATGCCTAGGTAATTATTACAATAACAATACATTTCCAACACCGAAAAGTAGAAGGAAAGGGTATCGGTAAACAGAAAGGAACCGGAACCGGTTACAGACCAGGCGAAGAATGTCTTGGCCTCCAGGCGACTCGATGAGAATTAGTTAAATGAGGCGATTTCGTGAAATTAGTGGCATTCTTCATGCCGTTCAGGAGCGCAGGTTGCACTTCCATGAGAATCGCCTTCTGTGGCTCTGCGTGTACGGGTATGGTTGATTTGGTCCGTGGTTTTCGAGTTGAAAGCCGCGGTATTGTTGTTGAAAATGGCGAATTCAGAGATGTCGGGGAATTCATGCCCTTGATGATTTCACGTAGTTCTTTGTCATCACTGCAAATCTGGGCTTTGATGAAATTTTGATCCTGGGAGTTTTGTAGGGAGGACATAACGGATTTTCGCGGGGTGTAGGTGAATTTTTCTGGAGTGGGAGGAACAGTAGGTTCGATGGAAGGATCCAATTTTGCTTCGACGCCTTTCGCAAGAAGGCTCTCGATATTCAAACTTTCACCATGTGGTATCTTGTTTGGGTGAGAAGGGGTTATGCAATCCATATCCACCTCCTTTCTTAGAACCTTATCAATATCAACAGCAGAGAAATACGCGCATGACTGGGGTAGATCGTCAATTCCCATCTCCTGTGAAAACATAGCTCGAGTCCAAAGATTCGCTACTTGCAACGCCATCGCGGTACGGTACTTGTCATGGTCTCTGACCAAATACCTGATCTCATCGTGTACCGTGATTGCAAGGCGGGCATCCAAGTTAAATCGTCGGATAAGGAAGTCCATCGAGATGATTAGTAGGTGCAGGTAGTCAACGCCAGACGATTGAATTGCCCAGTTTATCCGCGATGTCATAAAACTACCCTTGTTGATGAAACGGCGCATCAAAGCCTCGGTAATACCCGCTCCCAGAACGGGCGTTCTAGGCCTTTCCTGTTCTGCGAACTCTTCAAGTTTATTGAAAACAAACGACTCAGTGCCCCCTCTCCAAAATGGCCGATTGCTAAATATTTTTCGGTTGGTTCTAGTGCCTTTAGTTTCTTCATAAAGCTTAGCGGCAACCTGTTTTGTCTGCTGTTCAGGCATCGATGGGTTGAATTGGCGAAGAAGGGTAGCTGCAAATTTGAGACCCGCTCCGTAGATACGGCCATAATTAAAAACTTTGGCATCATTCCGAGATATTCCCAGGATTTTCGCTGTTTTTGAATGTAAGTCTGTGCCAGCCGCCTTTGTGCCTTCGAGAGTCATGAATCCGATCGCGTTTCCTCCATGAATTTGAAATTGCGCATCTCCCACAAGACTGGCAATCCACAGCTCTTCAGAATCCACGTCGGCTCCCACAAACACATAACCCGGAGGTGCTCTAACCATAGCTTTAAGTTCGGATCCTACCCGGTTAGCTTTTGCGTTACTCGCAGTTAGCCAGGTGTTCTCCACTGCACGCCGGGTAATAGTTCCCATGGGAATAACTTGTGGTAAAATGAAGCCCTGCTTCAACGACGGGTCCGACAATGATCGCTCAGTAAGCTTTTCAATATCATTTTGGTAAACGACCATCTGGCTTGTAATTCGATCCCTTGCGCTAATCCAGTAAGAACACGATGCATTCATTTCCAGAGCCTCCTTAGCCAAATCGAATTGGGATGACAGTCTCCCACCTTCAAAATACTGCAGATAGCCTTTTGCAAGCGGATTCACGCAGCGAGATTCGGGTCCATCCTTATGCGGTAGTTTAAAATAGACATGCTCTTTATCGTCTTTAAGGAGTAGATTCTTCTCTACTGCCATGTTACACGGATTAACCGCTTGGTTCTCGAATTTCTTCAATTCCTTTTTAGGAACCTGGAATGTCCACCCATACACATCTGACCAAAACAGGGGATATCCAAGCCAAGAGAGTTTTAGGAGAATTGGTGCTAAGCGGGTGCGAACACTCAGATTAATAGCAGAAGTGCTTGTAGGAAAGAGGCCCTTGTACCATTTCGGCATTCCAGGCAATTTTTGCCTGGCAGCCGGTCTGACAGGGTCCCCTTTTTTCTTTCCTTTAACCATCCTAATTTCTTGTCCAGACCAGTCCAACTGCCGTAACCAGGGATCTTTCTCATATATTTCAGGTTTATCCTTCACGGCTACAGCCCTGTCGCAAAGCTCCAATAACCGTTTTCGTACATCTTCCAGAAGACGTTGATAGGTTTCCTCCGCATTCTTGAGGTATTCGTCCCAGGTGTTGTTTACCGGCAAAATGACAGAAGACAGGTGTCTCAACGCGCCAAAACTAACCGGATGTGGGCACACCTCCAAGAAGGTAGGAAAAACTCTTTTGTAAACACGATGAGTAATAGAGACATCAGCTGCGCAGTAATCAATAAGTTCATCAAGATGTTCCAGAACCGCTGAGCGATCGAGTTCACTGAAGTAATCCCGTTGAGATTTATCTATTGTGATATTGCAATGAAACTTGGCAACGTCGCGTAACGAATTGATTGAGCTCCTGCCAACCCAGAGTTCCTCTTCTTCTTCCGGAATAAGGTTATCTTCAGCAAGTGCAGCAAGCTCAACAGAGTTATTACCCCTCATGAGTTTATCCCTTAGGTCGCGTTTTTTCTTGAGTCGCATCCAGGTGGGCCGTTGTTGAGAGCACATTCCGTTAACAGCGACGTGCAGGGACATAGTGTCGAGAAAGAAGTTCCGGGTTTGTTCAATACTATATTCCTCCAAAATCCTTGCGCGATCGTACCCAACATTGTGACCTACAATAATTCTAGGGTGAGACGGGGACCCGAGGGGAATAAGCTGTCGTTCATTTTTTGTTTCGCCGAGAAGGTAAGGCGACAACCAGGCATACCATGCAGTTGGACTTGCCGCACATGCCATGACTGCAAAAGAAGACTCTTTCCACATTACTTCAGTATCAAAAGTTAACATCTCTTCGATGGGCGCGTCAACTGTTTCGGTTGTTCCGTCACGGTTGTATTTTGTCCACCCACTCCTTCGAATCCATTTTTTTGGTACAGGTGGAAGATCAATTCTTGCATACTGTTTGGCGTTGGTAAGGTAAGGCTCCGAAGAATCCATTCCCAATTTGTAAAAATGCTCATCCATCGTATGTCCTGTCAAGGGAGGAATGTCAAATGCGATCGGATTTGAACCTTCTTGAGTTTTACCAAGCAGATCATGTCGCGAAAGATGGTCCTTCGAAAGTTTAACCAACTCCGGATTCGATGGAATACATTTCCTTCGAAAAATTTGAGAATGAACATGGCTGCTTAGCTGTTGGACACCGATTTCATTAAACCGCGCGGTAGACGATACTAGAAAAAAATGTGAGCGATAGGCGCATGTTGTAGAAATATAGAGAACCAAATGTACCTGCTAGACTCTGTAGCTTCCCTCGCTCCCCAGAGGAAGCAGACACTGCGTCCGCATACCATCGTAACTGCGAGCATCGATATCTGGGCTTCCAGGTGACGAGCAATAAGCGGAGAGGTCTTGAGGATGTCCAGAGCCCACCCTTTGAAGATGCGCATGCTAACAGGAGCATCCTTATGCGGTAAGAGGAGCTTCAACTACAGTACCATGGTGCGTCCAGGAAAACTCGCATTCAGAGCTTCATTGTAGAGGGTTGAAGGATTAGACGTTTCCATTTCTTCCGGTTAGCTTTCAGAATCGCATTACGTAATTAGAAATCGGAGTGTGACAACTATTTCCCGGTAAACCTTATGATTCACACGTGATCTGTAGTTTTAAATCACATGACATTTTAGTTTTATGCACTAGTCCATATTGAGAACATAAAACGTCCACTGGCGCAATCGACTTGTTCTTATCCAACGATCCACATCATTCATGACGATGTTCGGATATCTCCTGATGTTACGGCCTCTCCCTTAATTAACTGCATCTTATTGGGCGGGGTCACCTTCGCTCCTCCTTCTACGACCTTCTCCACACCGAAAAGTTGCTGCGTGCCTTACCGTCTCATCCCGCATCTCCCAATCCACCCGCCTATCCAAATGCTCTAACAAGTCTCCAGGATTTTCCTTCTCGAACTCCACAATTTACTCTAGCTATTATCTTCGAAGATTTCTGGCGCTGAGAGTGCCACCTATTCGATATATGGTCTTATTGTATTTTTCTCGGAATCCTCGGGGTAACGTCAATCCCGACCACCCATAACCTCCCAGAGAACTTGGCCCACGCGTCACACCCAGAACAAAGTGACTTTTGAGGAAATCTCTGGTCAGATCCAATAGGCATATACAATAGAAGCCGATATTACGGATTAACTGAGAACGGTTGATTTTGTTGCCATCGCTTTGGTAGATTCGCTTCTTGAACTCAGCGTAATATTGGCTGATTTTCAGGCTCTTGTTTCTCCGACTTGGCTGGCGGGAAGCATGAGTGAGTGAGGTGTTTCAGCAGGCTTCCAAGATATCCTCTGTGGCTGTATAGAGGAAGGGGTGAAACCGACTGGGACATATCTTCTTTCGCATGGTCGAGTTCATCAACAGACAACCCTCATCTCCTCCCCCTTGAAAAGATCAGCGCCTCTATCGGCGCCTTTGGTTGAATCGATTCTTTTTGCATTTCGGTCATTTTTTATAACATTAGTACTCATGAATAATAATTCGATTGTCGACCTTACCATCTCTTCCCCGCCGTCGTCAGTGGGCCAAAGCTCATCGAACATGTATGTTCATCGGCCGAGGAGTGAGTTACCGTTCGATGCCCCAGAGGGCTCTAGATCTCTTAAACGACGTCGACTAGATGATTCTTCCGTCGCTGGGCCTTCATCTCATACACCCCATCAGAATCACCAGCCCAGAATCTCAGAGAATGACCCAAATATCGAATCGATCGACCTCACAGAAGTGAATGATAAGTCATCATTGGCGAAAGCTCTCTTAAAACGACGTGAAGATGCTGCGAAGTCAGAGCATACATCTGTCGATGTGGGCAGTCGATCAGCTCTGGCAGCATATAAATGTCCTGTGTGTATGGATACTTGCACTGATGCGACATCTACCATTTGTGGTACGTGCTTGACCACTTGCTTCGTACATAACCACTGAGTGAACTCGAACTAACGTGCATTTATCTCAGGACACCTTTTCTGCCATAAATGCATTGTCGATACGCTTCGATTTGGCGAGGAAAGAGCGGCTCATGATGGACATGGGAAAACACCTCGTGGCAGATGTCCCGTCTGTCGGCAAGCACTCTCTCGATTAGATACCCCGGGGCCAAAAAGGAACCTTGTTCCCCTACAATTAAACCTTATGACGAGGAAGCGAACCTGAATCCAGCGGTTCAAAGGCGTTCCTTTAAAAGTTCAACTAATACAGTGTTATGGAGAGTTGATTTGGTTGCATTACATGACGGCGTTCACCATTTCTTACGGGGACACAGGATACAATGGAGTGTCTAGGTTTTATGTTTCTTGTACAGTACAGTTTCTTACCTTTTTTTTTTTAAGGTAGATACCGGGTGTCTTCGGTTGATATCCAGTTCATTGCTTACGATCACCAATTTAGAGATCAATCATGCACAGCTTCTTTTAATATATAATGGTAGTAGATAAAAGGAAAAGGTGACATCAGCCGATCAGATGTGGTAGAAAAAGTATAGATAAGTCTTCATATCGAGTAACGTAACCAGGTATTTTTACAAAGGTCATTGCTGCTAACCCCTACCCTCCAAATTACTACCTCCACCTGATGGTTCCAATGTATTACGCCTACTTCTTGCTGCCCTTAAACCTCCTCTGACTATCGCATCACCTTTCTTTCCCAGGACAACTTCCAACGCCTGCGTGAGCGCCGCTGCATCGTAGCGCATTCCAACAACTCCACCGGATTCGTTCTCCACTTTCCGGCCGTACAACCGTACACACTCAATTCCCATCCCAGCCAGACGCTCACGATCAACAAGAGGTGTACCAGGCCCATCCAGATGCAAGAGATGAGTGACGTATGATGTATACGGGAGAGAAACAGATAGATGACGCCCAGCTGGCTCTGTATCTCTTATATTCTCGTTCAAAGCCATCAAATCATGATGTTGACGGCCACGACTCTCTTCACCTGCACGAACGATCGCTTCGACAAAATCTATTGCTGTGTACGGTTTCGTTGCCGGTCCTGTTTCGCGATCTAGAGACCCGTTTAGGATAAGGATCTTCTGGCGAGCACCGCTGTTGGAGATAGCCTTTCCCACCCCCTTGAGTATTATAGAGGGTATAATAGAGGTGTAGAGTGATCCGATGCTGTATATTATCGCCTGGGATGAATATAATGCGTCAAGAACTCGGGGGTTACAAGGGGGTCGGATCTCTTGGCCGTAAGGATTTATGTACCACAGGCGGGAAATGCGGGAGGGAAGATCCTCTGTGGCGGTTTTGCTGAATGTTATGTTTTTGTTACGCAGAGTCGGGAGGGAGCCTGGCAAGTAGCTTTCGTCGTATGGGATGTCATCAGAATCAGAGCAAGCGTCATCACCATCAGCAAGGAGAAGGCTAGGCCGCCTCAGTAATGGCATAGGTTGAATGGCTGTTGCCTCGCTTGGATGTGAGATGCAGTTTTGGCCGACGATAACTGTGCCATCGGCCAGGGAGGCGGATATGTGGTGAGAAAAATTGGAGTTTATTGCTGGTATAACCCGAACATCGTCCGTGGGAACTGAGCAGATACTACCCAGGAGGTAAATGGCACTCTCAAGGCTTCCGCTAAAAAGGCGTGCCCCGGTAAGAAACAGATTGCCAACACTGGCGGAGGTGAAGTCAAAAGTTGAAGATGGAGATCTTGCACGCTTGAGAATTTCCAGATTGAGAAGGTTAAAAAAGGAGCGGATTAATTCCTTTTTCGCAGGAGATATGGCCTGCCATAACGGAGATGTCCCCTCCACAATGGCATACCATTCAGCATGGGCAGTTTCCGCTGATGGGGGCAGTCGATGGTTGAACAGTGTTTTAATTGCCGCTCGCTCAGAATGAGGAGGGCTATCAGGGATCAGGCGGACAAGTCTACCTATATTTTATATTAGATATGTAATTCAACACATCAAGCATTAAACTTCTTTCTCCTTTACTCTCATTGTGAAGTTTAGTGCAGCATAAATTTTAGACTTACTCCGCACATCACCTATGCCGGGCCCGCCAAACACTCGGATCAACTCTGAAGAAGAGCCACCGTTGTCACTGATCGGGATTATATAGCTCAAGGGACACTCCTTGCTGCCGCGAACCGTACTGAAAACATCAACGAGGTTATTAGTTGCACTTCCACCGGAAAACACAACAATCCCCTTCGGGGTTGACAGTGCATGCATCCGATGAACCCTGCACCCGATGATATATATATTAAAAAAAAAAGTTTAAAAGAAGAATATTGATGTCAACAGGAAAATAACGGTAGAAGATAAATACATATAGTAAAGAACAATGACAGTAGTCAGTTAACGTCAAAGTAATGTTTATGGGCACTTTGCTACTACCCAAATGCGTAGGTCGCCACCAAATCAAAAACAAGCTTAACTTGTCTCGCTTACGAGGAAATAATGAACTTCAATCCCAAAGAGAAAAGGAATAATCAACTGCAATGACCTTTGAACTTGACTGGGTTAACTCTCGCAGGGTTGATATTTCATACGGGGTAACTGGAAGGGACTGGAAAGGAACGTTTTTCAAGGAACGAATAACGTACTTCACCACCGAGCGGCGGATTCTTTCTGAAAATCATTAAATATCCAACCCAACTATCTTCAACACATCATCTCTTCACACTTTTTCATCAAATTGTCTTTATCTCAAGAATCTTACATACAGTTGGCCATTGCTTCATATAAATCCAAAAAAAAAAATATATATATCAAAGGCAAAAGCTTCAAAGATATATGAGGTTCCTGAAACTACCCTGCACAAATGACTTGGCTGACATCAAATCACACTTAGAGACACACACAAATGGCCACAAATTGACAGAGATTGAAGAGAAAACCCTTCTCAAGCAATTACTGAATGCAGATAAGTGAGGCTTTTCAATTTGACCAGAGTTCTTACATGGAATGACACAGATTCTACTTCAAGCACATGCTCTTGATTCTATCACCACCCTTGGAGTCAACTGGGCATTCAGATTCATTCAACATCATCCTCAACTATATACACACTATAATTGCTGTATATCCTATTAACAGGCAAGGCAGGAGGAACCAAAGATTATAAAACAATGATTAGAGATGGTACATGAAGCTATTCAAGAACATGAAATTCATGAAGATGATATCTAAAACTTTGATGAGATTGGCTTTGCAATGAGGCTTTGTACAACCTCTAAAGTCATTACTGCAGCTGAGCGCAGTGAGAGGCCATGTACAGTTATTCAGGGAAATCATGAATGAGTCACAATTATTGAATGTATAGGATCAAATGAATGTTCTATTTCACCGGTGATGATTCTAAAAGGAAAGGAACATCAAGCATCTTGATATCAAGAATCAGCTCTTTCTCAGAATTGAAGGATAGCTATGAGTGCTAATGGCTGGACCACTGATGTAATAGGCCTACACTGGCTAAAGAAGGTGTTTGAACCATACTCTAAATGCTATTCAGTGCGTGTGAAGCAGTTACTCATTCTTGATGGTTATAGTAGTTATCTGACTGCAGAATTTGATAATTTTTGCAAAGATAATGCAATTATCTGTTTCTGCATGCCTGCTCATACATCTCATCTTCAATCATTAGATGTTGGTGTTTTTGAGCCATTAAAATGCGCATATGGAAAGCTGGTTGAAGGAATGATGATTGCAGAAAACAATCATATTGATAAAGATGATTTTCTTTCTCTTTATTCATCTGCACAAGAGAAGGCCTTTACAAAAGAGAATATCTATGGTGGCTTTGCTGGAGCAGAACTTAAACCATTAGATATAGAAAGGGTTCTGTCAAAATTCACCTTTCAACTGTGTACACCAACACCACTGCCCTCATCATTAATTAATGATGAGGGCTTGATATCCTCAGCATTTCAGACACCTCAAATCAGTCATCAGCTTGATCATAAGATCCATCACTTGCAGAGAAGTCTTAATAAGAAGAGACAGCTATCTAGTAGCCCAATATCTCATCTTCAACATCTTGAGAAGGCTGCACAAGTGGCTATGAATACAACTCTTCTTCTTCATCAAGAAATCAAGATTCTACAAGCAGAGAATGAGTGGAAGACAAAGAAAAAGGCATGGAGACATGCTAATCTAGGTCAGAATACTGTTCTATCTATACAGGAAGGTCGTGGGCGTGTTAGCAGCTTGATATGCAGGTTGAAGCTCAGATTGAAGTTATATCTCACTAGTGAGCTCTATCGCGCTGTAGTGGCTGTGGGACTATTGGACATACTATACACAGTTGCCCCAATAAATAGCTATATATTCAACTATTAGATAGTCTTAATTTATTAATATTTTAAATATTTAAGTGTGTTGGTTGTTGAAGACGTTGAATATTTGATGATTTTCAGAGAGAATCCGCCGCTCGGTGGTGAAGTACGTTACGATATTTACTGGTTATCAAAGCATGAAGTAACTAACGTAATCAACCACCCAACGCCTGTTTACACCCAACGCCCGCTCAAATCTTCATTTTTCATTCATCTTTAACCACCAACAACATGCACCACGAAGCAGTTATACAAGCCGCAATTGATGATTTGAACGCGCAATTAATGCCTAATTACACTGAGACCACTAAAAAATATGGAATCAGCTGATATATGTTGTCAAGGCATTATAAAGGTGTTCAAATGTCAAGAAAGGAAGCAAGCTCTATCCACTGCAAAGCTCTCACTGATTCACAAGAAAAATGGCTCCTTTTTCATATCAATCAATTGGCAGATTGTGATTTCCCTTGTACATCCCAAATTCTTCATAATCTCATTGTCGAGATTCTAAAAGCACCTATTGGAGTCAACTGGGTGACTCAGTTCTGTGAGCATCACAAGAATGTGATCAAGTCACTCTACCTGCAAAATATTGATCAAAAACACAAGATTGCAGACAATTCTGCATACTTCAAGCATTATTTTGATCTTGTAATAGATTTCTTTCTTATACTGCTTTTTTAATTCTCATCTTGCTAATTTATCTTAATTTTTCAGCTGCAGGTAAAAATCATGAAATACAATCTTGAACCTGTGAATATCTACAACTTTGATGAGAAAGGATTCCTATTAGGATTCATTCACACTCTCAAATGTATTATATTGATTAATTTGCTCAAATCAGGCTGTATGATAGGTGCCAGCCAGGATGACAGTCAAGAATTCATAACACTACTTGTCTCAATTTGCACAGATGGAACTTCACTCTCACCTGCTCTCATATATCAAGAGGAATCAAGAGATATGCAAGATACTTGACTTGAAGATTTTGATAGTGAAAAGAATCAGATCTACTTCACTGCTTCAGAAAATGAGTGAAGCAATGATGAATATGAGTTAATGTGATTAAAGAAGATCTTTGAACCTCTTACAAAAAAGAAGGCAGGCCATGAATATAGACTTCTTATATTGAATGATCACTTATCCCATGTTAATATGGCATTCATCAATTATGTAGATCAGAATTGAATTCTACTTGTTGTCTTTTCTCCTCATTCTACACACTGATTACAGCTGCTAGATGTTGGGATATTTGAATCATTGAGTAAATCATATTCCAAGCAACTGAATGAATGAATGAGAACTGAAATGGGATTCATACACACTACAAAGAGGTCTTTTTAGCAGCTTTTTGACACTGTGGAAGGAGGCAGTTACATCTTCAAATATTGAAACTGCATTTGCTACTACTGGCCTACATTCATTCAATTCAGAATGTATTCTTAAAAAGCTTCAAATATGATCTTGCACCTCCTCTGATGCAATATATCAATCAAAAACACCTACTTCTATTGTTGGCCTGCAGAAATTGATAAAGCAAGTCAAGCAATAGCAGCATCAAATATCTAATGATCTCAACCAAGTGATCTGTGCAGGGGAAAATCTTGCTTTTGATAAAGAGGTTCTTTTAATAGAGAATTGACAGCTTCAAAAAGCTCTTAATCAAGAGAGGAGATGTTGCAAGTGTGACAGGGCAATGAGATTGCTAGATCTCTTGAATTTATCATTGATGCAGTTCTTCTCACCAGCAAAGGTGCAGAGCATCCGCGAGAATTTGGCAGCTTCAGAGGTTGCTAAAAAGGATGAGCAAGCTCATAAGGAGGATGCAAAGCTGCAACACACTATTCTTAAGGAACAGAAGGAGGCAGATATCATTCAGCAGAGGATGGAGCAGGAGGCAGCTCACCAGGCCACAAAACAGCAAAAGGAAATGAATAAGGCTGCAAGAGCTGCTCAATGGCAGATTGACAAGGAGCTTAGAGATGAGAAAAAGGCTCAGGAGCAAAAAGAAAAGGAAGAATGAGCTGCCATATAGCTACAATCACAATTGAATAAGAAGATGATTGAAGAATTCAAAAATCATCTTTCTAATCAGGAAAGTAGCCTCAATTTCACAAAGAGTGGCTAAATCACATTTTCAGAGCCCTGTCAGAGTGCCCACGGATCCACTGCCAGAGGGATATGATGATATTGCAATCTCTACTGGTTTAATGACTGCTTGCTCACTGAATCTGCCTCCACCCAAGATTTCACATTCTGGGCAAGTTATTAAGCCAAACAAACATTTACTGAATTAGCTATATATTTTTATATGTAATTTTTCTATATATATTTTCATCCTATAATATATCATCTTAAAATCTAATTGCGTTGTTGAAATAACGTTGAAAATATTTCATCATAGTGATGGCGAAATGGCGGGCGTTGGGTGTAAACGGGCGTTGGGTGGTGGATTACGTTACGTAGTTAGTTAATTCCCAAGCGAGCGGATCACCCAAGCGAGCGGATCAAAATCACTGTAATCCAACTGACTAGATTTTAAATCAAAATTTCTCAACACCACAACACTCAATTAAATTAAATTAAATTACACTAGGTTGAGGACATCTTATTATTGTATGTCTGAGAGTGCCGCAATTGTTGCAGCGTTGTGGAGCTCATTGATGTGATGCTAGCTCAGATGATGGAGACTCACAGGTTTGAATAACTGTCTGTTCAATGGGTGCAGCAGATGGAATAATAAGATCCTGAACTTCATTCCTAGTTAGACCTTCTGTGTGTTGGATTTGATGTCTAGATCTATTCCGCTTTTTGCTTCTCTATCTCATTCGCGTTGAATATATGGGGATAGAGCTCATCCTGACACTTTGACTGACTTAATTACAGTCACCCATTTCTGATTTCCAGACTGTAGAAGCTTTGCCCAGCTGTAGCACTCACTACTAGTAATAATCTTAGTAGAGTGCAGAGTCTTATTGCAAAGTCAATCTCATCAAAGTTGTATATATCCTCTGGCAGAATCTCATGCTCAGCAATTGCAGCTCCAAGGTCTTAAATCAAGTCTGAATAACCTTTATATCCTCACATTTGGCCTAGTCACATGATTACAGCATCTGAAGTAGTGAGTCTGAAGCTGTGGATGGTGTGTCACTAGATTTGACACCTAGTTCTTGCCAACGTGGAGGGGATAGTGGTGAAGATGGTGAAATTCCACATAGCAAGAAGATCATTACCTGTATCTTCAACAAATGCTGGCTGTTGGGGAAATCCTCATTTAGCTTGATCCAACACTCATTCAACTAGCCTATTCTCTTCAACTTGGGTTAATTCGGTTGAATTTGAATGTAGATTCATGCGAGAAGTCCAGCCATTGAGTTGATAATTTAGAGTAGAGGATGACATATTACATACATGTGCAGCTTCATGAATTGAGGATATTTCTTGCTTTTCTAAAGCATTTATCACAAGCTCAAACCTTCCCTCTCTCCAAAGAGAATTTGAAGTGTTTTTATTGCGAATTGGTGGCATAATTGCGTGTTGAGGTGGATGAGTAGTTAAATGAGAAGATATTTTGAATTGGTGATCTGCTCGCTTGGGAATTTGTTAGTTAACTAGTTAATTAGTTAGTTCGAGTAAGGAGTAAAACGTCGCACCTCATGGGCACTAAGAATTAGGAATTCATAATTACAGCTTTACATATCCAGTAAACAATACAGATTGCCGAAAACTATGTGCTAGGTATCGTTCTAAGTCTATATACGCATATTTCGTTTCTCAACAGGTGACAGAGAAACAAATCATATGCAACCTCATTTCACAAGATCACCATAGAACAGAAAATAATCGGCAAAATAATTCGAGGTATCTACGCATATGCAGCCCAACCTGAGAGATAGAATAAGGGTTAGTATCACATCTGTACCGGACGAACCACGGGAAATTGGCTTACCGGAATACAAAACTGCAAGGTTACGCTCATCTGTCGCTTGCTGAATTAACTCATTAACCGTAGCAGCAACGCTAAGGGTTTTCCCAAGCTTCTTCGCAACAACAGTTAAAGCCCGATCGGCCTCACTGGGTTCATTGGGGTTCTTGCTTTTGCCGCCTTCGCTGGCCTGATCCGCGCCACCAGCCGCCTCCTGTGTATCCTGCATTTTCTTAATGCGCAGCGGGGATAGTGACCAACTGTACAGCGGATCATAGCGCAGGACGTCTAGAATAGTCATAATGCTATACGATTCTTGGCGGAGAGCCTCGAGGGTGAATTCGCAGCAGCGTCTGAACACCCCCTCTGTCTTGGTGATGCCCATTCCATCAACAAGATCGCGGGTTAGGCGGAATGGAACCATCTCCGGGATTGGTAGGACACGCCCTTGTTCAAAAGCAACCCCTAAATCAATATGAACCACTTCCCCAGTTTTCTCATCGAGAAGGATATTGTGTCCATGCCTATCACCCAAACCGAGCACATGACCTAGCATGGAGATAGCAGCAGTACTTCGCGTGTAAGCCAGGCGCTTGCTGAACCAGTCATCCGGCTCTTTGAATTTTTCCATGAAAAAGAATTTCATGACCGGATGGAAGTGATCCGTTACTTGACGAAAAATCTTTACTCTATACTCTAACGTTCTTGGTTGGGCATCGTTGATATTCTTGCGGCAGGCATTGGGTTTCATATCCTTGGGATAGTGCCTCTGATGGGCAGGCATGAGATAGTCGTGTAAAGGAATGGTGTTTTGCACAAATTCGATGATACCGGCGTTAGCTGTAAGCGGAAGCACCTTATACGTTCGGATTCCCAAGTTGCGCTGTTGGGTGGCTCGATGATCCCGCAGTAAATTGCTGACTTGTTCAAAGACTTGTTCCATAATACTGTCCTGCCGCAAGTCATCATTTCCACCTTTGAACTGAACATATACGTCAGAAATATCTACTTACGAAAGCATAGACTTCACATGACTTACCAGCTGTTTATACTTTAGACCATCTGAGGCAATAGCTGTGACAATCTTGGGGGCACTGACACCTGAAGCGACAGTAAATTCTGGGAGGTATTTCTCAATTCTTGGAACATGGGTGTAATCGCAATCAACCCGGAGGTCAATTTTCATCGTGGGGGGTGGAATATGTTGCCTTCTGATGTCTTGTTCCAACCGCTGTCCGGTAACCGATTTCCTAAGAGCAACTTTCGAACCACTCTTGAGTCCATCATCTAGTTTGTCCATAGCAAATCTAACATAGCTGATATTTGTGTTATGCAGCGTGATCCAGGTGCTCTGTACTTTCGGATCATTTTTCAGTCGGTCGACCAAAATGTTGGCTGCTCTGTAGCGTGAATTCGACATAAGGTCTTTCCCCACTTTAGATTTACTGCTGCTGAACATTTGATACATCCCGTGATAGGGGTGCTCCACGCAAATCCGAAAAATGAGCTCTGACAGTAAAGGTTGAAAATTATCCTCAACATCAAGCAAACGCGACGACAATTGATTCATTAGTGGTGCAAATTTCCGACTTGGGACCGTGCTGATATATTTTGCGACAGCTTCATTGGCTGCTTCACTCTCGGAGTTATCTAACCAGAGAGCACAGCATCGTAAAACATCGTTCTTGAACATATCAGAAGCCCGCAGCGAAAGAAGATAGTTTTCTAAACACTGGCGTAGGAAAGATACCCTGCTTTTCTTCAGCCTTTGGTACTCATTGTCATCGAGTTCAAACCACTGTTTTGCTTTGATTCTATGGATGCGAAGTTGATCTCGCTCTTTACCTCCAGCGGATTTCATCATTTGCTCTAGATCCATTACTTCTTTCTCCTTTCGATGGCGGATCTGTTCGATTCTTCTGAAGTCTTCAAGTCCGTCTGGGTTTTGCAATTGTTGATCACAGAAAGAAGCGAACTCATGGAACACCCGCCCAGCTTCGTCTCCTTCGAAGTTGCCTTTCAATTCCTTCATCGCAGGAACTAGATACTCCTGAATAATTGTATCCGGCTTCTGCAACCTAGCTTCCGCAACGTGGTGACCCTAATGAAATTAGTAACTGATGTCTTTTCATAAGCATAGATTTTAGTTACGTACTAGACTAGCCAACACTTCTGCCTTATTCACAGGAATAGATTGTTTCGGGAGATCTTTTTGTTCGTTAAGCTGCTGTAATATCTGAATTGATGTCGTCATTTCCCCTTGATCCCAAAGCACATTTGCTAAGTCAAACGTGGCTGCAGCATCAATGAACACACCCAAGTCGGCACATGGCTGAATTAATTTAGACAGAGACATCGCAGATTTCAAAGATGCTTGATGTTCGTCGTGTTCTCGGCTTATCTTGAGGGATTCTCGAATAGCCTTAACCTCCAATAGCTGGGCATCACGGGAGCTTAGACCAAGCATGGATCTTAGGTGAGGTTTCCGTTTGATTGACGAGAATAAAGCTTCGTGGCTTGAAAGAATCAGGTTTACATCGCAGAAACTGATGAAGTAATCACGTAAGTCAAAAATTGTTGATATTTTGGAACCCATGTAATGGACTATACGAACCTCTCGAACTTCAGCCATGAACTCCTCGATAGCATTCTCTCCCATTCATCCTGCAACTCTTCGGGAGTTTGAGAGCTCAGGACTTCGTCGACTTCGGTTAACACGCCTAAAGCCCTCATCATAGTGCGAAGCTCAACCTTTGACTGGTTCTCTTCTAACAGGCGGCTAAGGATCTCTGAGATGCAATTATCCAACGTTCGAACCACTTGCATCTTGTTGTCAGAGGAATTCAAACTTTGAAGAACTTTGAAAACATTCCCGTTTGCGGAGGCAGTGGTGGAAGGCAGTGGTATATCCCACTGTTGTAAATACAGTGAAGTTGAAAGCATGCTTTCAAAGACTTCAGCCCTTTTCCCAATACCGCTAGGTGCCACAAACATGGCACTTGCAACCCCTTGGAAATTTGTGGAATTCAGAGCTTTTATAACTCCAAGAGCATTTACTTCTCCGATTGAGTTAGAAAGCTTCATGTCGGTCTCATAAT